AAGAACATCATGTAACTTTTGAAATATTATTTTACAGATTTATTATTTGGATTTTAGACAATAAAAATATATAGTACCGATTCAATTAGTGGTAAAATTTAACTATTTATTATGCTATGGTTAGATTTCTGTGCAAATGTAAGAGTACAAAAGTACTCATCTTGAGTCATCCCTAATGTTGTTTCTATCAGATCAACCAGTTAATATCATACCATCCGGCACTCCCACGTTGTCTGTCTAGTAAATCAAGACAAAGCAAGCAAAATGTATTGATCCACCTCGTCCTCCGACTTTTTCTGCATTATCCGGAAAATCACACTGTGAATATCAGTGATGATCCACTTCTTGTCATACAGAATGGTAATTAATCATCATTACAGAGAACAGGAAGCTCATCATCAAAAGACCAAGACATAAAAGCTAGTAATTATAGCACCTATTGCATTATTCTTTCCGGATACATGTACTCTGTTTCTGCAGAAACGCTTTTGTATTTTAGGTGTTGTGTTGCAGTGTAGTAATTTGCCTTAATAATTAAAAAAAATCTACCATTAAGGTTTTATTGTTTTCAGTTTCCCGGAAAAATTAAATTTGAAATTTTTACATCTCGCATGAGAATAGATCTGTCCTCAAACTATACCAGGAAATGATCGCAACACAATAACCTGATCTCTGCAATGCTGCAAATCATTTGGGGGTAATAAAAGTACGTGTGTGAAAGGGTAGTTTTCAAAGTTTCAAAATAGATAAGCTACAAATTTCAGGTCTAATTACCTTTAGAACTTTTTAATATCACTTCTAAAGTTTTTTAAGTTTGTTTGTTTTTAAGTTTTCCTTAGAACCATATGGGTACTTATGACAAGACATATGAAGACTTTCTTTAACTTTTGTAGTTGGAGATTCAAACCAAGCCCCAAACCAAAGACGTGCCCATATTTATATAGTTATCTTCTAATCATGACCCACTGATCCATATTTTAGCACCTGAGTTGTAAGCTTCAAGGAGCTTTTCTGATCACCCGATGTTCGGTGTCCGTTTATCTGTCTGTAAACTTTACACATTTTTCAACTTCTCAATAGCCACTTAAATTTCATCCAAACTTGGCTAATAGTATTCTTAGGTAATTGGGATTTTTAATTAATATTCAAATGAAGGGCCATGCCCCCTTCAAAGGGGAGATACTCAAAGGGTAAAAAATAGAGTGGGGTCTTAAAAAATCTTCTCATGAACTACTTGGTTAGAAAATAAGGCACTTATATGGAACTTTCTGACATTGTGTAAATTATAAACTGTTCAAATAGGTGAAGCCACAATAGAGATCAAATTTTTTACATGTAAAATATCTTTAAAAATCTTCTTCAAAACCAGTCGGTCAAAAAAATGAAACTTATGTTAAAGCTTCTTGACATACAATGTAGTGTCCTTTTTCTAAATTGTTGACATCATGGTCCCTGGAGATAGGATTGGGCCACGATAGTTCATGTGAATATATAGGAAACATCCTTTGAGATCTTCTTTTCCAGAACCACTGGATTAGAAACAAGAGGCACATGGGTCACAACGCTCACCTGAGTAACTTTGGCCTTGCTGTTCTTCACCTGATTTCCTACCGTGTAATACCTATTGTAGCCCCGCCCTACCCCCCGGGGTCATGATATGAACAATTTAGAATCTACACTACCGCAGGATGCGTTCACATAAGTTTCAGCTTTTCTGGCCCAGTGGTTCTTGAGAAGAAGATTTTTCCTATATATTTCAATGTAAAACTTGGATTCCTTATTGTGGCCCCGCCCTACCCCCGGAGGTCATGATTTGATCAATTTAGAATCTACACTACCCCAGGATGCTTCCTTATAAGTTTCAGCTTTTCTGGCCCAGTGGTTCTTGAGAAGAAGATTTTTACTACATATTTCAATGTAAAACTTGGATTCCTTATTGTGGCCAGGTGAGCTAAAAATGAAACATGTGTAGAAGCATTTAACATAATGTAGATTCTTAATTGTTCAAATCATTGCCCCCTGGGGACAGAGTGGGGTCACAATAGGAGGTCAAAAATTTTACATGTAAATGCAGAGGAAATATTTTTAAAAGTCTTCTTTTAAAGATCCACTGAGACGATCAGAAAAGATGAAACTTAATGTTTAAAACCTTTTTGAAATAGTTTTGATTCTAATATTTTCAAATTATAGCCCCCACCCCCGGGATAAGGTGAGGCAACAATTGGGGATCAAAGTTTTACAAACGTACATAAATTAGCGTACTCAAAATTTAGCGCAATCGTCCTCTTCAACTGATAAGCGCAATCAAACATTAGAGCACAAGAGTTTAAACAACGACATGTATTAATATCATGTTCAAGAAGCAATACAAAAGGCACAAAACAGGTCCAGTCAAAAGACTATTGCTACCTACGTAGCTACTTATAGCTAGCTAGGTATTTAAACCTACTCCAGGTAGCTATTTTTACCTACTTTTTGCTTTATTTGCATTTGGTGGCCAAACGCAGGAACGGCGCAATATGGTAAGCACCAAATTTTTTAATACAGTCACACTGATGATGAATACGACAAAAAATTTGGGGAAAAAATGATTACTTTCTAACTTATCAGTCACGTGCAAGTGAAGTATCTTTCCAAAACTATTTTTATCAATTTAGAATTTCCCAATCTGCTAGTATTTTTAGCATAATGTGAAAAATAAATCCTTATATTCACCTGGAAGGTTATGTGAAGGTGAATATAATGTAGTATTTTTCTAATATTGTTAAATCTCAGCCAATCAGAGAAACAGGAATTATTTAATCATATTAATGTGCACACACAGGTCACGTGCTACCCACATTAACAGTGTTAGCTTGATTACGCGCCCTCTATGTATACTAAGAATGTAATTTTATAATAAAACAAAATAAACTGATAGATGAAAATACGTTGCTCAAAAACAATAGAAATAGGATATCAGGAATCAACTAAATAGCTAATCTAATATTCAGCAGATACTCAAAAATAAATGTATTTACTTGCCTGTACGTACTGTCCCATCCTAACTCCAGAACCCCTGACCCTGGGGCCAAGAATTTCATAATTTTAGTAGAGGGGTCAAGCTTATTTAAAATTACAATCATGCTAACAGTTTGACTGCTTGATTTAGAGGATTAAAGAGAATTTCTTAAGATTGCAATGATTTTGATGTTTTTAGCCCCACCCCTTTGACCCTAGGAGGACAGGTACCATGAAATTCAGAATTTTACTTCCCCTTCACTCGTAGATGCTATATGCCAACATTGGTTGAAATTTGCTGAAAATGTTCAAATGTTAACAGACGACGCACGACGCCTGACGAAAAGAGATAGCAATAGGTCACCTGAGTGAAAAAAAGTACGTGAAAGTCACCTTAAAACTTCAAAACTTACTTATTTGTTTGAAATTTTTGTTTGTTTAATTTTTTTCTCCCTCCCTCGTAGCTTTTGAAGTTTCCAAGTGAAGTTAAACGTAGAATTAACTGCAGCCTGTGTAAATCAGTGAAAATGGATACTCATTGAACATAACTGAATTTAATTTATCATGTTCATATTTCATATCAAAGACAGTTTAACTCTTTAAAAACCAATTACTTTACAACTAAATGAAAAAAAAATGATTTGATGAAAGTAATATTTTGTATGTAATGTAACCAATAGTTTACAACAAAGAACCTAACAACAAAGCTTTATGATAAAGGTGATGACTTCAACTTTTCAATCGTCAACTTCCCTTACTTATGTAGCAATATACCCTTATCATCTGCATATAGGGTTTATGTCTCTCAGTTGATTCGATACGCAAGAGCATGCTTTACGTATGAGCAATTTCTAAAACGAGGCAAGCTATTGACAAACAAGTTGCTAAAACAAGGATATCAACAGTCTCGTTCGAAGTCATCTTTTCGCAAGTTTTACGGTCGATACAATGACATTGTCAGCACATACAACCTATCGAGTCAAATGCTGACTGACGTTTTTCATACTAATCATTAAGCCATTATTTATTAACTTAACTCTCTACGGATTTCTCCGTTATTACCCGATCATGACAAGGAGCACACGGCGGGTGTGACCGGTCGGCAGGGAATGCTACTCCTCCATGGCACCTGATCCCACCTCTAAATTTTGAGGTCCGTGTTTGCTCCGGATTTACCAAGGCGAGCTTCCGGTACGCGTAGTTTGATTTCCGTTTGTTGTCCTTTCAAAATTGGAAGCAGAGCTTGAGGTGTCCCGTCACCTACGATATTGTATCCCTTGAGAAGAATTCCTCCTAACACTTCTGTGAAGTATTTATGGGTTTTTGGTAATGTCCTTAACCACGTGTTTCTGGATACTGAATCGAATCCAAACATAAGCACATTTAAGGGCATATAAAGGTCGTCATAAGAGGCTTTGTTAACTCTGTCATGTACCGTTTTATCAAAAGCAATTGTAGTGTGTATATTTGAGTATTTAGGTCCAAAAAGCCCCGATAACATCAGTTGATGCCTTTATAACACCTTCAGTAAATGTGTGCTTGTCACCCACCTTAAAACTATACTCGTCTTTACGATAAATAGGGTAATAATCACATGAAATTTTTTCATGTTTTGATTTGGCGCTCTCTTTTATCCAAATCGATCCGTTGTTCACTTCTATCCAGTTTTAATTTTCGTCCCATTTTAAGAGGACCAACATCGTGGAAATTTTTCATTACCGAAGGGTGATACGGGTCTAAGTTAAGGTGGTTACAGGCCTGATCACGACGGAGGAAGTAGTTTTTGAGCACACTATTTAATACTGCATTTAAATATCAGCTACTCTATCAACTTCAAAGATAGTAAATCAGAGAAAATAGATACTCATTGAACATAATTGAATTTAATAATTCATCATGTTCATATTTCATATCTAAGACAAGTTTATTCTTTAAAAACCAATTACCTTAAAACCAAATTTAAAAAAAAATATATTTAAAAAATGATTTGAAGACAGTAATATTTTGTACAGAATGTAATCCACAGTTTACAACTGAATCATATATATCGTATTCATGCATTCATGATACTATACGAAAAACATTTCAATAGAAGCTTTATTATCATCATTTTTAAAGTGTTTTGTATAACTGGCTTGTATAACTGTTTACAATATCTCAATTTTTCACACACAAAAAAAAAAACACTCAAGCATGATAACAAAATAAGATTAAAAAATACACATTTGTACAAATTTATGTGAAAACCATTTCCTGAAAGAAAAAAAATCAATATGGATCTATTCTTTCTTCATGCATAATAAAGCCAAGTTTGATAAAAATTCAATTTACGTAGACGTCATTATGTATATACAAAGCCTTTCATCTCCATTAATCATATACATTTGCACATTTACTTAACTTTATCATGTTAGGAATGATTTAAACAAATGTCATGTATAAAAGAGGTTATAAATGTATTTTGAATTTGTTAAAAAGTTTCATACTCAGGTAAGCCCCGTATACTTGAAGGCAATGCCATTTTGTGAATTGAATGTCTTCAAAATGGGATTTAATATACAAAAACATGCTGATAAGACATGTTTAAAAATGATCCATAGTAATTGTTTTCGTCTTATTCAACAGATTCGTCATGTTTCTTTACAGAAAAGGATATAACTTTCTAAATGCATTTACTTTCTTCCCAATCTAACTTAGCCAAGAAAAAGGAAAAAAAATAACAATGGTAAAATTATTTTTGAAAGGTTTGAGAAAACTCCATTCAAAAGTAAATATACATTTATTCCCGTTTCTATTTCTTCATGGATTCTGGGGTGGGGATGGGGATGGGCACAAGTTCCCTATAGTTTCGTGTAAAACTGGAGTCAAAGCAGACACTAGCAACTATGACAGTCAGTCATTCACAACTACTCACATTCTCTATCCTTTTCATAAATTTATGTGAAACTAGAACACGTCCAAAAATGCTGCAATCATTCAAAATACCGCAAGCATCCAAAATACCGAACATACCAAAACTACTTCACACATCCAAGGAATCGAACACATCGAAAATAGTGATCACATGCAAAATACCGAACACACCGAAAATACTGTACACATCCAAAATACCGAACGCATCCAAAATACCGAACACACCAAAAATACTGCACACATCCAAAATACCGACCACATCCAAATATTGAACACATCCAAAATACCGAACACATCCAGAATAGTGAAAATTCCGATCATATCCAAAATACCGAACACATTCAAAATACCAAAAGGTGAATAACCCTCTAAAAATATCAATGACTAGTAGTATTTACACTATAAAGCATGGCGACTGTCGGCAAAGAAAGTACACTGGATGTGAAAGTGCTGAACAGTTTCTAAACTGACTTATACTACAAATCCAGTACATTTGTAGATTGATCTTAACTTTGTATTTTGAATCATTGAAAGCTCATAGATAATAATTGTTGCCGGTTTAAAAGAATGGAACACTTAATTAGGGGTGCCCATTTTTTTTTTTATTCCTTTAGAGTCCTAATTGTTGTAGTTACTGTTTATGTTATATATGTTAATTTTCCATATGGATGGGCTGTATTGTATGTATTGTATAAGTTTGTAGATGTACTGACTCAATAAACCATATAAAAAAATTGCATTAAGTACCTACACGCATATTACACTGTCTTGCAGTAGCAGTACTGTCGTAGATGCGGTGCGTCCATGTAAACACAATTTGCAGCATTTCCATATTTGTTAATTCTACTGATTTCATGAGCACTGATGATAAATTTATCCTCATTTGCGATGTATTTCACGGTGGTTTCAAAAATTCCATCACCGGGTGATGTTTGTAAAGTGATTTGATACAAAGCACTTTTGTCTATGGCATCCTTCGATTCCTTCGGAACTCTCCCATCGGTGTCAGCACTACCCAAATAACGCGCTATGTATGGATTTGATTGTAAAACCATAGCATTTTTGATAGATTTCAATGACAATTCATGGCATTTAGATCTAAAATTTGTAGTCAAATTGTTCATAAATTTCACAATTGAATTTGCTGCTTTCTGTGTGATGAGATCATCTGAGGAAGTGACGTTCCATCCTAAGCATGCGCACCAATGAGGTGATATATCAGCATCGCTACAAGTACGGTGTTTTGGTATTGGTCTGAAAAGACTCATCCCTCTTGGTAATTTCTCTGCTTTAGTATCTGTCTTCTTAAATTTCATCATATCAAGGAATGTTTCATGTATATCAAATGGTGTTGTTAATCTACCTGCATTTTCTTTGAATGCTTTAAATTCGGACGGATATTTCTTAGAAAACCACTCTGGAAAACGAAAAGCAAAATAGGGCATTCTCTCTTCGTACTTTCCCTGGATGCTCTCCCTGACTGCGTGGAATCGAGCACCATGATCGCTCATCAGAATCAACACAGTTTTGTTCAAGTAGTTTTTGTTCTCTAAAAATTTCAACATGCCCAACAAATCATCATCAGCCCAATTCAGTTTGCTGGAATCCTCATGGCTATATTCGGAATGAAACGCAAAAATAAATTTTAACCGATTTTGATACATTTGAAATGCATCTTTTACCCAGTCCATCATAACTTTGTGTCGTCTTTCTGAACCGAGACAAAATGGTTTACTATATTTGTGTATTTCTTGTGTAGCCTGACAATACGGTCGCCAAAAATGATCAACTGGTTGTTTATCAAAGCCCAACATTCTTAAATTAAAGGTCCCAATCCAACACATATCCTCTCCCCACTGGGTCATATAACCAGCCTTTTTAAAATCTTTCCAAACCCAGGGATGGCCGTCGACAACTTTTGCTCCGGGCTTACCACGGCGAGCTTCCGGTAGTTCGATTTCCGTTTGTCCCGTCAAAATTGGAAGCAGAGCTTGAGGTGTCCCGTCACCTACGATATTGTATCCCTTGAGAAGAATTCCTCCTAACACTTCTGTGAAGTGTTTATGGGTTTTTGGTAATGTCCTTAACCACGTGTTTCTGGATACTGAATCGAATCCAAACATAAGCACATTTAAAGGCATATAAAGGTCGTCATAAGAGGCTTTGTTAACTCTGTCATGTACCGTTTTATCAAAAGCAACTGTAGTGTGTATATTTGAGTATTTAGGTCCAAAAAGCCCCGACTGGCAAGCAATTTTGATAACATCAGTTGGTGCCTTTATGACACCGTCAGTAAATGTGTGTTTGTCACCCACCTTAAAACTATACTCGTCTTTACGATAAATAGGGTAATAATCACACGAAATTTTTTCATGTTTTGATTTGGCGCTGTCTTTTATCCAAAACGATCCGTTGTTCACTTCTATCCAGTTTTCATTTTCGTCGCATTTCAGAGGACCAACATCGTAAAAATACTTCATTACCGAAGGGTGATACGGGTCTAAGTTGGGGTGGTTACAGGCCTGATCACGACTGAGGGAGTAGTTTTTGAGCACACTGTTTAACACTGCATTGTCTCTAAGTATGGTCTTCTGAGAAGTTCCTTGTTTTAGATTGCCGGTATGTTTTAAGGTCATCCAAAGTGAAATGTACACACATAGAATAACAATGATCATGAGGGAAATATAACGTATCTGCCTCCATCCTCGAGAAAAGCACCATCTGTACAACCCCATGGAATAGCGTGATTACCACCACCAAGAAGAAGGAACGAATCTGGTCACTGCAAAGAAGAATCGATTTGCATCATTATGTCTGTCTCTGAGTATTACGTTATCTCAAGTAGATTTCCCTAAATATCGTAGGTTTTTAAGAATTATCATTTACTAAATCTGAAGTGCCTGTATGACGTAGCTTTTTATTTTTTTCCTTGTTCAAGTTACACATGATTCATACTTCACAACTATTGTACACATGTGACTTGATAATTTTTATCCTGAATGTATAATTATCATTTCAAATGAGATACACATGTAGATCCTTTGAAGAGTACATAATACAAATTCACCAAAAAATATATATATAGAAAACTTTGACAGTACCTTTGTTCTAAGAATAACCTTCATTCACTGCCATCACTCATATTTAAGCTGTTAGCGCGCGCCTCCTTCCTCCTGACTGATGGATATGCACATACACACACTTTCACACTTCCCCGAAAACCAGCCTTGATCGATAATGGGTACTAACCATATATACTCACAGACTAAAAATTAGTAAGCCAAGTACAATATATACATTATATATACATTATATACGGTTTAGCGTAAAACGATGTCCAAAATCAACGACATAAATAATTATTTTAAAACGTGTCGTGGCAGTACGGCTTGAGGTCATAAAATAGCAACTATTTTTATCTTGCATTGAGATAAGAGCTGTTTACAATGGATTGTTGCGTTAAGATAATGCAGAAACTATATAATGACATCTGGGAGACAACGCTAATCATATTATGCAAGAACTGGGTGGGTACATACTACTTTGTCAGTACTTTGCCCTACAGATCTGTTAATCCATACTCAGGAATATCAGTTTTAAGAAAGACCTGTTGCTGGCAACTCAAAAATTTCATTTCAATGTTTTTCTACGAGGAATTGAACTTAATGTTCTGACATAAAGTATATATAATATGCATGTTCATTAAGAGGATTTCACCTGCAAATTATTTATTTTCAAAATGTCCGTCAGCACATGATAATGAACATAAAACTGAACACGTTGCCTTTTCCTGTCTTACCTGACTTTTAATTCAGCTTTGTCACCTGTCTTAAATTGTTACCTGTAATGTAGGGAAGGCCAGACTGATGTTTCTACTAGTTTTCCGTCCATGTCTTAGCATTTGTTAAGTTAAGATGCCCGGTTAGTAGATAAGTTTTTGTTTGCTTGTATGTTTTATTTTTAATTCCTACTTTGTTTACTTGTATTTTAAGCATTTAATTGTTCTCTGAGTTCATTCAAAAGGTTTTAAAGCCGTTGCAACGTAAGTTCCCATTAAAGAATAATCTTCATTCTGTAAAAAGCTAGCATCGCGTTACAATTGCAAAATCTTTTACATAAATGGTGAACGCGAGTTTTCTTTAAAATTTTCGTTTAGCATTTTTTTCCTTTTTATTTATACTCACAATCCGGTATAGGTTCTAAACCAATCAAAATGATGCACAACTATGAGAAAACACACACAACATTACTCTTGCCTAACTCAGCAGGCATCTGGTGCACACGCGCACGTGGAGAATATTTTATCAGGCACAGACGGCATTGTGTGAATAATGGATTTGAGCCATGGACTGGGATAATAGCTAGCAGGTTTGAAAGAGCCAGTAGAAGAAAAACATAATTAAATGAAGCCTCCTTGAAGATTTTCTTTATAGCACCAATAAAAATTTTCCCCTTGTCAGCATGGTTATTGCAACTCTTTCAGAAAAGAAAAGCTCACTTGAGCCTTCAGCTCAGGTGGGCTAAAAATTACAGAATAAAGATACCAGTGGGCGCGCAATTGTTTCGTAACACAGGTCAAGCCGGTTGATACTTCCGGAAGCGGAGGTTTCATTATAGATATATATCATATTTTCCAAGTTAAAATTGCTAATTTTAGAGATTTTCTATTTTTGTTTTTAATTAGTGTATTTAGACAGACATAGGAAAACACAATACACAAAACACACACCATCCTGAAACCGAGCACCTATGGGTGTGAAATGGAAATCCGTACTGGGCGAGGGAAGCTGAAGACCTTCATAGAATTTGTTAAGAGTTCAGTAATACATCAAATAAAAATTCAAAGTATCATTAAACATAATTATATTCTCAGTATTACACCATCACAGATAAAGATACGAACTATGAATTTTAACGGAAAAAAACCCATTTTTTTGCCGCCATTTTTTTTTACGAGAGATTACGTAAAACAGAATCTCGCAATTTGAATAAAATCAGCTGTTTGTTTGGCCACGTTTACTACCCACTACGCCACATGTGGCGTAGTATGTAGTAAACGTAGCCAAACAAACAGCTGATTTTAATCAGATTGAGAATCTCGAGTCCGATTTTTAATACACATAAAACATGTATAAGACCATTTCAGGGAGTCACGTGATCTGTTTTAGCCAATCACCGTTCTACAAATTTGTTTGAAGCGGGATAAATGCATCCACTTATCATGTAGTAAATTTTGAATTTACTAGGGAGAGGTAAATGCAAAATTATTTACCTCCCCATAGTTAATTCAAAATTTACAACATGATACACTGAATATTAATCTCCTTAATTTCTAAGAAAAACCACGGTTATTTATCAATAAGTTAATGCCGCTAATCAAGCCGCCTGTAGAGATTTCTTGAGCAGTGGCTCTTCCATCAAAGAAACATACAATGACGTATATATCAATTACATAACATTTAACATACTTAATCCTGCATACTTTGTATGATTATTTATACAGACATAAATATAAACAATAAAATGTCTTCTTTTGTTTGTTAGTATGGGAAATAACATTTATGTAATCCGCTTACGCGGGTTATGTATTTTTCTGCAACAGCTCATACTAACGTCCAAAGAAAGCTTTTTTTGTTAAAATATGTGGTGCTTTCTGTGTTTGTTAGATTTTAGGTAGTCTTTGACCAGCTGTTATAAGGGGAAAAAATCAATACTGCAGCTTGGCATCTCTCTGATCTGTGCACATATGGCGAAGGAAAAAATCTATAATTCGAATTATACAAAGCGTTATGAAAAGTAAATAAATACTCGTAATACTTTTTTTTGTTTTTTGTTTTTGTTTTTTTTTTAGGGGGGGGGGGGGTCACAAGTATAAGGCGGTATTTGGAAATCTTTGTATGCATGTATTGCATACGCAAAACCTTAAATTTAAACCCAGGTTACTAATGTCATTTTCATAAAAAAAATTAAAGAGATATATACGTATATGCAGTATCTATTTGGTATAATGTTATCCTCTGTTACTTATTATTAAATATCCGTACATCTATAATCTCTTCTCTAAACGTCTTTACTTATGAAGGGTCTTTACTTATGAAAGGATGCCACAATTCTTTTTAGCTCACCTGAGCTTTTCTGATCACATTTTGTCCGGCCTCCGTCTGACTGTCTGTAAACTTGTCACATTTTCTTCTTCTCAAGAATCACTGTACAAATTCGATAAAACTTGCCACAATGCATCCTTGGGTGAAGTTTGTTCAAATGAAGGGCCACACCTTTTTCAAGGGGAGATTATAATTAGTGAAAAATTAATGGCATCTTTTAAAAATCGATCTTCTCAAGAACCACTATGCCAGATGAGTTGACACTTATGTGGGGGCTTCCTTGCCTGGCGTAGATTCAAATTTGTTAAAATCATGACCCCCAGGGGTAGGGTGATCCACAATAAGCGATCAAAGTATAATATAGGAAAATACAGTAAAAAATCTGTAAAAATCTTCTTCTCAAGAACCATTGGACTGGAGAAGTTGAAACTTATTTGAAGCTTCATTACATAATGAGGATTCAAGTTTGTTTAAATCATGATCCCCGAGCGTAGGATGGTACCACAATAAGATTTTATAGGAAAAAAATCTTTAAAAATCTTCTCAAGAACTGCTAGGCATGATTGGTCATATTGACATGGAGGCATCTCCAGGAAGTGTAGATTCAAATTTGTTCAAATCATGACCCCCAAGGTTAGAATGGGTTCATACTATGTGATTAAACTTTTGAAATCTTGAAAAATCTTTTCAGAACACTGATGGCAATTAGTCATATTGACATGGAAGTGTAGATTCAAATTTACAAATTTGATTGTCTATTGTGGCCCCACCCTACCCCCGGGGGTCATGATTTAAACAAATTTGAATCTACACTACCTGTGTCTTGTTTGGGATATGCTGCTGCCATCTAACCTTAAGAATCCTTCTGAGGCACTTGGTCTGAAAGATGTCAATCTTCTTTTCCTCAGTCTTGGTAAGCTTCCAAGTCTCACATCCGTATAACAGAGAGGACCAGGCTCTTAAAGAGGGAGACTTTTATCTTTCTACTGATGCCTGTAGTATTCCAGATGTTGGCTAGCCTCCTGAAGGATGCACCGGCCAGTGCTATCCTCTTCCTGATGTCAACAGTACCTCCTCCATCCTTGGTGACATAGGCGCCGAGGTAAGTGAAGCTTCACTATTTCCGACTGCCAGGCTAGTTTCACTCTTGTTGTTTATCTTCATCACTTTGCACTGCTTGGCATTCAGCTTCAACCCAACTTATGCCGAGTTTTCTTCCAGTTTTGTTGTCTTGGACTGAAGATGGAAAAAAGAAAGTAAAAATTAGAAAATTAGAAAGAGAAAGTAAAAATAAGAATGTTAAAATAAACAAGTAAGAATGGGTATCCCGGATGAAACTTTAACAAAATTAAGACAAAAAGGGCACTATATATATGCTTCCGTACATATTGAACGTACACGGAAGTCTTGTGCGAACAGTTGAAAAAAGCAATTAAAGATTTTCCCAGAACATACACTTACAAAGCATACCATTTCTGAGTGTTTTCTTTTTTTGATTAATGCAAGTTGATTGGTTCTTAATAATAGTGGCACTGGCCGCTGTAGCCTAGTTAAGATTAATTTGGAAAATCAAGAAACTAGAGAAAAACATTTTAGGGTGAAATTGAAAAATAAGAAGTTAGAATTTAAATAAGTAAAAAGTTACTGTCTCAAAATTGGAACAAAATTTATCTGAAGGAATTTGAAAAAGAATACCTATATAAGTAGCAAAAGGAGTTTATGGTAAAGAAACTCTTCTTTTTTTTTTTGGTCAATGTTTTATATTACGCGAATGTTAAATTGTGTGTGGTTTAGAGTAAATGGCATATAAATATTTTATATATCGGCCAAGAAATTCGGCTAATACAAGTTATTTGTTAGCATAATTATTTTCATATTAAAATAGAGATTCTATTTTCATTATCATCCAAAGTGCCACAATAACCCGAGTCAATAGCCAGCCTGTTCCTTATTACGTCATGGTCCATGTCTCTTCCATTAACATTAAGGACATTTGATACAATTTCTTTTTCTTCAAAAATCATACAAATAACAACTAAATCTATGTTTATAAAATAAAATAAATAAATTTAGTTCCATTTTTTACCCAGGGTTTCCATTACTACATATAATAACCGTCCGAATTGACAATACGAACAAAAATCCAAGTCCAAAAATATACACCAGTCCATGCATCCAATATTTTGTTT